GACCTCTGCATGTCACTGGGTTTGGGTGTGTCTCCTCGTGCAAGTTTAGCCACCTTTTGTTTTCATCTGAGGCTGTCCATCTCTCCATGGGTGCCGGGAGCCCGTGTGTGTGATAGGACACTGCTGTCTCCCCCAGGACAGCCACGCTGCAGGTCTCCCGCTCTCAGCTGTGTCCCAGTGTCTGGCCACAGTGGCCAGGCAGCTAATGTTTGTTGGATATTTCATTGAGTGAATAGATTTGAGTTTGTTTTTGCTACTTTGTCCTGGGTTTCCTGTTTGCTGTACCATTTTCTTACCTTTTTGGGGGCTTCTGGTGTCTTTTGTTGATTTAACTGAGTTTTCTTTTCCCTTGCCTGTCACTCCACCCTTCCGTGCTCTTTTTGCAGAGCACCCCCTTGTGTTAATGCTGCACAGAATGCTGGTGTGTGTCTGTGGCCAACACTTCCTTACAGTCACCAGCAGAGCCACCGTCTCTGTCCCCACATGCTGCTGACACTTGGTGCTGTTGTCACACCCTGTTTCTGTGTCTGGCCCTTTGTCGTCTTTCACGAGGGTCTGGGAGGGTGAGTTCTTTCCAGTCTTTGAAAATGTCCACACAGCTTCTACCCTTGAGTAATTAGCTAATATTGGGTTTTTGGTTAACAAGTATCTACCTTCAGTACTTTGAAGAAAGATTCCATTGTCTTCCGGCATCTGATCTTGAGAAGTCTGTTAGTCTGATTTTCTGCCGTTTTTATATAGTTTTAGTGTTCTCTTTCTCTTCGAAAATGATATGTCTCTAGTAGGTACAGGTCTTTCTTTTTCTTTTTCTTTTTTGTCTTTTTGTCTTTTTCCGTGTCTGGCAACGGATCGCAACCCTCAGTGTTGCCCCCGTACCGGACCAGGGACCGGCAACGGGACCGCAACCCTCGGTGCTGCCCCCGCGCCTCGCTCAGCCAGTGAGCGGGAACCGGTCTGTATGTGGGATCCGAAGCCTCGGGCGGGAGCGCCACCACGCTGCCAAGCAGCGCACTGTAGCAGGGCGCCACCGGGCCGGCCCCCAGGTCTTTCTTTTCATTGTGACTGGGACTTGTCTCTGTTCTGAAGACCTGCTGTTCTTTAGTTTGGAAGGTCCGTGAGCATCCGGCGGGTGTCGCTGTCGCGCTCCCCCGTGCGGCTCCTCCAGAGCTGTCGTGGGACTGGGCCGTGTGGGGCCTTCTCATCCCACACTCCTCGTGCTGTCTGCTCTTTCATGGTGCCAGCTCTGTGCTGCTGCATTACTGTGTCCTGCTGTACACTGAATTGTGTCCCCAAAATTCACCTACTGAAAGCCCGACCCCTGATGTGACTGCATCTGCTGATAGGGTCTTTGGGGGGTAAGTAAGGTTAAATGAGGTCTTGGTCATGGGAGTGGGGCCTTAATCCAGTGGGACTGATGTCCTCATGAGAAGAGGAAGAGGCTTGCTCCTCCCCACTCCCACCTCGCGCCTTGTGAGGACGCAGTGAGGAGGCGGCCACCTGCCAGCCAGGAGGAGCCCTCACCAGAACCAACCCTGCTGCACCTGGACCTGGGACTCCCACTCCAGAACCGGGGAACGGGAATGTGTGCTGTGCAGGCCCGGTCTGTGGTGCTCTGTCACCAGGGTGCTCCCTGTGTCACCCGCTTGTGCTCTCCAGCTGCAGTGTGTCCAGTCTGTGGTTCCAGTCTGTGGTGCTCTGTCACCAGGGCGCTCCCTGTGTCACCCGCTCGTGCTCTCCAGCTGCAGTGTGTCCAGTCTGTGGTGCTCTGTCACCAGGGCGCTCCCTGTGTCACCCGCTCGTGCTCTCCAGCTGCAGTGTGTCCAGTCTGTGGTGCTCTGTCACCAGGGCGCTCCCTGTGTCACCCGCTCGTGCTCTCCAGCTGCAGTGTGTCCAGTCTGTGGTGCTCTGTCACCAGGGCGCTCCCTGTGTCACCCGCTCGTGCTCTCCAGCTGCAGTGTGTCCAGTCTGTGGTGCTCTGTCACCAGGGCGCTCCCTGTGTCACCCGCTCGTGCTCTCCAGCTGCAGTGTGTCCAGTCTGTGGTTCCAGTCTGTGGTGCTCTGTCACCAGGGCGCTCCCCGTGTCACCCGCTCGTGCTCTCCAGCTGCAGCGTGTCCAGTCTGTGTGCCAGTGTTGCCTTTTTTGTTGTGCTTTTGGGTTCTTTTTAAAACAAGCCTCTTCTGTTCTCATTATTTCTTTTTCTTTTTAGTCACTCTAGTCATCCGTTTTAAGCATAGTTATTTTATGGTTGTGTGTGAAGAATTTAACCTGGCCCAAAGAGAGGTCTGGCCCTTGTCTTTGACCCTGGAAGATGTCTCTAGGCCCTTGGAATGTGCTGCCTGACAAGAAGAGCATCTTTATTTACCTGGGGCCTTAAGCCACACTAGATAGTCTAACAACATTTAGGGTGGGGGCTTTGGGTCACTCAGTATCCACTTGACCTCATAGGGGCTGGAGACTGGGGCTGGTCACGTGGGCAGTCAGCCATGTCCATGTGAAAGTGCCTGTAAGGACCGATGACACTGATACCCGGTGAGCTTCCCTGCTGGTGGTGCTCCCTGTGTGATGTCACACAGCGTCACTGGAAAAACTGGTGCTGCCCGTGACTTCATAGCGGGGGTGACCTGGGTTCCTGGGTTGGAAAGTTCCTGGGTTGGAACTCTCCTGGGTTCTGCCGCACACACCTCTTAACCTTGGCTGATTTTAATCCACAGCCTTTAGCTGTAATCAACTGTTACCATGAGTATAACAGCTTTCAGTGGGTTCTGTGAGTCCTTTGGTACATTATTGAACCTGAGAGGGTTTCATGGACCCCTGAACTCTGCATTGTTTTCAGAAGTGAGGGGTTTTATGGACCCCTGAACTCTGCATTTCTTGTTAGAAGTGAGGGAGGCTTGGGGATCCCTGAACTCTGCAGCTGGAGTCAGAAGTGAGGGAGGCTTGGGGACCCCTGAACCCTGTAGCTGGTGTCAGAAGTGAGGGGTTTTATGGACCCCTGAACTCTGCATTTCTTGTTAGAAGTGAGGGGGGCTTGGGGACCCCTGAACCCTGTAGCTGGTGTCAGAAGTGAGGGGTTTTATGGACCCCTGAACTCTGCATTTCTTGTTAGAAGTGAGGGGGGCTTGGGGACCCCTGAACCCTGCAGCTGGTGTCAGAAGTGAGGGGTCTGGGGCGCCCGTGACCTGCAGCTGGTGTTAGAGTGAGGGGTCTGGGGACCCCATGCCCTGTAGCTGGGGTCTCAGGGACTCCCATGCTTCTCAGGGTCTGCTGCAGAGTGATCTGCCTGGGCAGGCCTGTGCCGATGGTGCTGCTTGGTCCCCTCCCTTGCCTGTCGCAGTGTTGTTCCTTCTGCACGCGTGTGTGCGTTTGGATTCTGGGCTCATGTGCAGTGGGAATTGTTTTCCCGTGGGTGTCCTTTGTGCGTCACTTCTCACAGGATCCCTACGGGGAGCGGTTTGCTCTCGATTCCTCCAGACGCCCAGTGTTCTCAATGTTTCTGAACAATTTTATACTAGTTCTTGCTGGTGGCTCCTGTGCCACGTTGGTGTTGTACATTTGGACCATATGCCTGTGCAAGGCGTAGGCCTCAGGCTCTGTGGGTGTCAGTGGAAGGGGGTTACACAGGAGGCTCCCAAGGAGCCACACTCCTGGCGTCTGGACCCTGTGCACCCCCACCCGCCCTCCTTCTGATGCTGAATTCAGGCTTGGCTGCGTGACAACAGCAGACAGGACGCAGAGAGCAAAAGAGGCCTGCTCAGTGCTTGCACGCTGGGGCTTGTCCTCTGAACACTGCTGTCCCTGTGTGAGGGAGCCTGACCTCACCCCTGAGGGTGTTAGACCACAGAGGAGGAGGGTCGGCCCCGCCAGCGAGCCAGGCCAGTCCCGGAAACCACCGCGTTTCGGGCAGTCGGTTATGCAGCAGAAGGTAACTGACACAGTGGCTGGTTTCCCTTCCTCTTACCCACAGCCCTGCACTCCGTGCAAGCTTTCCCGTTTCTTTAGTGGCTGGAGTGGGATCTCGGCCCCCACGCCCCACCCTCGAGGGCTCCTCAGGCCTATATCAGGGACTGGGACCCTGGGGAGCCCCCAGAGTGTAGCTGCCTGTGGGGAGCCCCCTTCTTTCTTTTGATCACAACTTTGTGTTTTTAAAAAGGGTACTTATTCAGCGTTCCCGTGTCGTAGGGGAGAGGAGTCTATCTGGGCCAGTTTAGTCCCCCATCTGGCCACAAGCCCTCCCAGCCGTGGTATTTCTAATTCCATGTCATAAGTTTACAAGTTCTTACACTTGTTATTGCGTGGCCTTTCAAAGTGTTTATAAGTGAAACAATTTCACACAAAGCCATATTGCATTTTTTTAAGCAGACACACATATATGCATGTAAAAGTACAAGATTAGGACTGGAGAGATGAATATTGAACCTGAGTACTGACCTGGGGAGGGAAGGAGGGAAATGAAATTAAGGTGGCAGTCAAAGGTGACTTTAGCTTTATTGATAAGATTCTATTTTAACAATTCTCATATATTCTTGTGTAACTTTCTGGTAAGTCTATACATAGAGAAAAGGCAGAAGCAAATAAGCCAAATTGTTGATGGAATGTGGTTGACTCCCTTTTTTTCTGTGTACTTTTCAGCATTTTGAACAATGGCCACAAATCAAGTTGTGAGAAGTTAGACATGCTGCGTCACTGGCACAGGCTCTGCTAGACAGGCCTGGCCCGCAGGCCTGGCCACGTTCGGAGAGTTGTGCCTGGGCCCGCTGGATAAGCCCTGCCTGTTTCATTGCCACCTGGTCCTCTGGGGCTGTTTCTGTGTGTGCTTCCTTTTGCAATCTTGAAAATTCTCCACTGGTCTTTTCCTGTAAGCAGCCAAACACAGCTTTATGTTTTAGCTACACTTGAGTAGAAACCGGATCTCTGTGGTTTGATAGGAAACATGCTGCAGCAACCTGTGGCCTGTGGCACCGTAGCCACAGAAGATGACTATCTCTCCCTCACTTTGCAGAATAGAAAAGAAACGCACCATCGTCCCCACGCTGGCGGAAGCAATTAGGGAACGAGGTGGAAGAGAAGTAGACTGGGAGTATTTTTACAGCCTGCTTTTTACATCAGAGAACCTGAAGTTGGTGCACATTGCCTGCCACACGAAGACCACCCACAAGTGCGACTGTGACCCGACCAGAATCTACAAGCCCCAGACCAGGGCAAAGAAGTGGCGGCCTGCTCGGAAATGCCAGCGCCGCGCACGCACTGCCTTTGCACCCCTGTGATGGCCCCACAGGGTGCGTGTGACTGTAACAGGTGCTAGTTTTCTTTCCTTGTAACTCCAGTAGTCTCTAGAAAAGTTAAGAAAAATTTTTTCCTACAAATCTGATTTCAGTCCATTTCCGAGTCTGTTTTCTATACCTCCGACAGCCCAACTTCCAGAGAACAGCTTTGGGGTACTCGCAGAGTTCTGTGGGTCCCTGGTCATACGGGTCGGCAGGGACAGGGAATTGTCTTTGAGCTCGGGGATTTTTCCATTCTCTACTTTTCCAGTACTTTGTATGCCCATGTAGTGTGATCTCCATACTAAAACGGTGCTGTGGCCAAGGGACAGGTTGTTTATCCATCAGCTCTCTGTTGAGTCTGTTTCCACAATAAATGGCCAGCCCCATCCTCTGAGTCTTCTAAATGCCCAAAAGAGAGGTGTCACGCTTTTAAAGTAAAATGTTTGTAACTCTGTAAAGAATGTACAAGGACATTCACTGCTGAATTGTTTATACTGTCAGAAAGTGAGAAGCCCTCCAAGTGTCTGTTAGCAGGGGAAGAGCTGATAGTGGCTTTATGTTGAACAATATGAAATTGCTGTTTTTGTAGATCACAAATGGTCATATATTGATTTCATGATTCAACCTAATATAGCTACATAATGCAAAACTGTATAGCAGTTTTAAGCGTTCATGAGATATGTGTTTATGTTAAATGCACAGGGGGCTTAACTCTGCAGAGTGTGACTGTTTGTTTTATGAAAGGCTGGTGTGCACGCCTTCCCCGTGTGCAGTGTGTGCAGAGTGTGCAGCAGGCATACCAAGCGGGGAGCAGCAGCAAACCTGGGGACATGGTGGGGACATGGTGGAAATGCACAGGGGGCTTAACTCTGCAGAGTGTGACTGTTTGTTTTATGAAAGGCTGGTGTGCATGCCTTCCCCGTGTGCAGTGTGTGCAGAGTGTGCAGCAGGCATACCAAGCGGGGAGCAGCAGCAAACCTGGGGACATGGTGGGGACATGGTGGGGCCAGGCGGGATTGCATTATGTTGGACTCATTTTCTTAATTATGTATTTTATAATACTTGAGTTTTTTGAAATGAGCATTTAAAATGTACTTTTTAAAAGTCATACATTTTATAGTAGTTGATTTTTTACATTTATTGTATAATCAGAAAAAGCAATAAAGATTTTCCGAAAACAGACATGTCAAATAAGTTTGTACTCACTGTAAATGATGAACACGAGGGTGAAAACAGGGGTCAGTGATGTTTTAAAAATTGACCTGGGTGGTTCCATTTTCTTCACTGACATAGAGCAGTATCTCAGAACAGCCAGTTCTGTGTGCATAACTTTTAGAAGTCCTGTCTGGGCCGGCCCGGTGGCGCACTCGATAGAGTGCGGCGCTTGGGAGTGCAGGGGCGCTCCCGCCGAGGGTTCGGATCCCATATAGAGACCGGTCCGCTCACTGGTTGAGTGCGGTGCGGGCGCGACACTGAGGGTTGCGATCCCGTTGCTGGTCCCGGTACGGGCGCGACACCGAGGGTTGCGATCCCATTACCGGTCACGAAAAAAGACAAAAAGGAAAAAAAAAAAAGGAAGTCCTGTCTACGGCAGGTGGTGTTTATGTGGTCTGATTAGTGAAGTAGGAATGTGGGAGAGTCGGGGCCCAGGAGCCAGGACCGTGGTTCCTCTTCCCAGATCCCCCTTGTGCAGGCTGGAGAACTTCTGGAACTCAGCAGATTGCACCCGTGCAAAAAGGAGGCTGGCCCGAAGGCCGTGAGGTGCTGAGGTGGGAGAAGCTGTTCCATTTTCCAGGAGTGGTGTGCACCCTGGACAGCTAGTCTCTTGATTATAAGCTTTCTCGATGGCCGTCCTTCCTTCTCAAACACAGCTCCCAAGTGGTGTTGCCAGCTTGCCTCGGACATGCAGGGCAACTCTCCCTCTACCTCACGGCTCCCCGGTGCCACTCCCTTAGCCAACTCTCTGAGATTTTATGTCTATTAGGACTTCTGGGCCTCCTTCACTGTTGTCTCGTCTTGTCCCCTGTTCCTCCTCCCCCTTCCTAATCTGAGGTTTCGTTTCTGCTGTAGGTGGGACACCGGAAATCCAGGCTGGTTCAAGCTCTGCGTGGGTGAACTATGGGCAAGTGCTGCAAGGCTTCAAGGCCTTCCCAGCCGTGCCGCCGCTCTTTGGGGTTTTTTTGCTCACTTCTGGGCCCTCAGCTGGGCGAGGTGCTAGGTGGTTGCTATAGAGGAGAGTTGTCACCAGCGAGGAGTTCTGGCACCCAGACCCTCAGACTCCCAGCTTAGAGAAAGTAGCTGGGCCTCTGCAAAACGTGTGTGAAACAGGTTCACTGTGAACCGGTTATCAACTTGTCTGCATCTGGAAAGACAGAACTCTCTCATATGTTACATGAAGCGGGTTTATTACTTACAGACAGGTGGCAAGGGACAGTGGAAGCCTCAGATCCATTGTGAGCTGATCCTTTAAGGCTCAAGAAAGCTGCTCGCGGTGGATGGAGTCTCTACTGTTTGTGCCCCACTTGTACCACAGCTGAGAGATCCCGAAAAGCAGCCCACCTGGGTTATATACCTCAGGGGCCATGTGACTCCCTGGGCAAAGCTCTGAAGGACATCCTGCTTCCAGGGGAGAGAGGAATGGCACAGGCTGCTCCAGGCAGTCTCTCCCTGACTCAGGATGTTGCATTCCCCGGCATTCTACGGTTATTCTTGAAAACTGAAAACTACTTGAAAACTGAAAACTACGTGTGAGAAGAGGGGGAACTGGGTTGGTCCAAGGCCACCCGGAGAGCTGTCCTGCAGTGGATTAACGGTCCGTGCATTTGCACACAAAAGGAGGGAGAAAAATTCTAAGTGCTGACAGTGTGGAGTCACATGATCTATGGGCATGAGGGTCACCTACTGCTGGAGGGTCCTGGTGTCAGCAGTGTGCTTCTAAGAGAGGGCCTGTAGGGGGGTCTGCAGAGGGCCTCAACTTGCCCTGTGCCAGCCTCCACGCAGGGCACAAGGCTGCAGGGAACACCACTTCCTGCAGCTCGGGAGGAGGCACACCATAAACAGTCAGCTGGCCATCAGCCTGCCATAGGAGCGGAGTCATGGTGCCAAGATGGAGAGAGTGGCAGAGGTGGGGGGATGGGGTGGGCGGGGGGATTTGAGGCGTGACACTGGAGCCAGCCAAGCAGAGAGCTGGGGGCCAGATGAAGCATGTTAGGGTCCTGACAAAAGGCCGCTGTGGCTGAAGGACAATGGTCAAAGGGTTAAGAAGCCAGACCATGCTCTGAGTTAAGGCCAGGGCGAGGACTGGGTTTTGACTGCAGAGGCCGGGGGGAGCTGTAGAAGGGATCGAGGAAGGGGCTGACTTACTTCTTCAACTCTTCCCAGTCCAGAGTCTTGGGAGAACGCCAGAGGCCTTGGAATCTCTTGCCTGGGAGTATTTCTGTGTGCCTGGGGCCCTGGTGCTGTTGCATCAGTCTTACTTGGGGCGGGGGGCCTGGGTGCAAGCAGCTAGGGTCTGCACGTGGGCACTCCATGCCTACATGACTGACCCCAGTAATACCCAAGGCAGCAAGGCTTGGCTGAGCCTCCTGGTTGGCACCCGCCATTGGTGGGAGAATTCAGCGGATCCTCATGTGACTCCCCTGGGAGGGGACATCTGGAAGCTCACACCTGGTCTTTCCTGGACTCTGCCCCCTGTTCTTTCCTTTGCTGTTTCAGTTTGTATCCTTTTGCTATAATTAACCATTCTCTGAGACCTGTGATTTCTTCTAGAGAATCGTTGAGTCTGAGGCTGGTCTTAGGGTCCCAACCATGCAGGGCAACTCTCCCTCTACCTCACGGCTCCCCGGTGCCACTCCCTTAGCCAACTCTCTGAGATTTTATGTCTATTAGGACTTCTGGGCCTCCTTCACTGTTGTCTCGTCTTGTCCCCTGTTCCTCCTCCCCCTTCCTAATCTGAGGTTTCGTTTCTGCTGTAGGTGGGACACCGGAAATCCAGGCTGGTTCAAGCTCTGCGTGGGTGAACTATGGGCAAGTGCTGCAAGGCTTCAAGGCCTTCCCAGCCGTGCCGCCGCTCTTTGGGGTTTTTTTTGCTCACTTCTGGGCCCTCAGCTGGGCGAGGTGCTAGGTGGTTGCTATAGAGGAGAGTTGTCACCAGCGAGGAGTTCTGGCACCCAGACCCTCAGACTCCCAGCTTAGAGAAAGTAGCTGGGCCTCTGCAAAACGTGTGTGAAACAGGTTCACTGTGAACCGGTTATCAACTTGTCTGCATCTGGAAAGACAGAACTCTCTCATATGTTACATGAAGCGGGTTTATTACTTACAGACAGGTGGCAAGGGACAGTGGAAGCCTCAGATCCATTGTGAGCTGATCCTTTAAGGCTCAAGAAAGCTGCTCGCGGTGGATGGAGTCTCTACTGTTTGTGCCCCACTTGTACCACAGCTGAGAGATCCCGAAAAGCAGCCCACCTGGGTTATATACCTCAGGGGCCATGTGACTCCCTGGGCAAAGCTCTGAAGGACATCCTGCTTCCAGGGGAGAGAGGAATGGCACAGGCTGCTCCAGGCAGTCTCTCCCTGACTCAGGATGTTGCATTCCCCGGCATTCTACGGTTATTCTTGAAAACTGAAAACTACTTGAAAACTGAAAACTACGTGTGAGAAGAGGGGGAACTGGGTTGGTCCAAGGCCACCCGGAGAGCTGTCCTGCAGTGGATTAACGGTCCGTGCATTTGCACACAAAAGGAGGGAGAAAAATTCTAAGTGCTGACAGTGTGGAGTCACATGATCTATGGGCATGAGGGTCACCTACTGCTGGAGGGTCCTGGTGTCAGCAGTGTGCTTCTAAGAGAGGGCCTGTAGGGGGGTCTGCAGAGGGCCTCAACTTGCCCTGTGCCAGCCTCCACGCAGGGCACAAGGCTGCAGGGAACACCACTTCCTGCAGCTCGGGAGGAGGCACACCATAAACAGTCAGCTGGCCATCAGCCTGCCATAGGAGCGGAGTCATGGTGCCAAGATGGAGAGAGTGGCAGAGGTGGGGGGATGGGGTGGGCGGGGGGATTTGAGGCGTGACACTGGAGCCAGCCAAGCAGAGAGCTGGGGGCCAGATGAAGCATGTTAGGGTCCTGACAAAAGGCCGCTGTGGCTGAAGGACAATGGTCAAAGGGTTAAGAAGCCAGACCATGCTCTGAGTTAAGGCCAGGGCGAGGACTGGGTTTTGACTGCAGAGGCCGGGGGGAGCTGTAGAAGGGATCGAGGAAGGGGCTGACTTACTTCTTCAACTCTTCCCAGTCCAGAGTCTTGGGAGAACGCCAGAGGCCTTGGAATCTCTTGCCTGGGAGTATTTCTGTGTGCCTGGGGCCCTGGTGCTGTTGCATCAGTCTTACTTGGGGCGGGGGGCCTGGGTGCAAGCAGCTAGGGTCTGCACGTGGGCACTCCATGCCTACATGACTGACCCCAGTAATACCCAAGGCAGCAAGGCTTGGCTGAGCCTCCTGGTTGGCACCCGCCATTGGTGGGAGAATTCAGCGGATCCTCATGTGACTCCCCTGGGAGGGGACATCTGGAAGCTCACACCTGGTCTTTCCTGGACTCTGCCCCCTGTTCTTTCCTTTGCTGTTTCAGTTTGTATCCTTTTGCTATAATTAACCATTCTCTGAGACCTGTGATTTCTTCTAGAGAATCGTTGAGTCTGAGGCTGGTCTTAGGGTCCCAACCATGCAGGGCAACTCTCCCTCTACCTCACGGCTCCCCGGTGCCACTCCCTTAGCCAACTCTCTGAGATTTTATGTCTATTAGGACTTCTGGGCCTCCTTCACTGTTGTCTCGTCTTGTCCCCTGTTCCTCCTCCCCCTTCCTAATCTGAGGTTTCGTTTCTGCTGTAGGTGGGACACCGGAAATCCAGGCTGGTTCAAGCTCTGCGTGGGTGAACTATGGGCGCATAACTTCGTATAGCAAAACAAAAGAGACAGCAGCAAGTACTGGGTGGCTGTTCATGCAACGACAAGCCCTGTGGAGGGAGGTCCAGACACACACGAGGGCTGTGGGAGCAAGCCATCAGGCCATCAGCAAATGTTTTATTTTCTCTTTGTGGGTTAAAATGATTAATTTGTTTAATTGTGTGCTGAGGCATTATTTCCAAGCAGTGGGTTGGGAGTACATAACTTGCATGTGCAGCTTGCTGCCTGAGTACCTACGGAGGAAAGAGGCACCATCTTACCTGCATGAGTTCAACGTTCCCAAAGAATCGGCTCACAGGCATTGGCTGATTGCTGTCGTCGTCTAGAAAGACGCTGTTGTCCATCTGAAGTGGGGGTGTCTGGACTTCCTCTGACTCTAGGACAGACTCATCCTGCACGGTGGCACTGCTATTAGACTCTTCTGCTCCAGAACTGGCACTGTGTTTTGGCGTGGACAGGCCACCTTCAGTCTTTCCTGAGCAAGGATCACTCACAGCTCTGCAGTGACCCAGGGGAAGAGCAGCAGTCTCTTGTTGTGTGGCAACACCAGCTTTACTGCCCAGAAGCAAGGCACCGTCTCCAGCAAACTCATTTTTACAAGGGGTCTCAGGAGTTTCTTCTGGCAAAGAAGCACAATCACTTTTAGGGACTAGTTTCTGTAACTCTGACTTCACAAGATGGCCTTTGTCATACTTGAACTTCTTGGAAGTTCTTCTGTCCGTGGCTTTGTGTGATGAAGAAGTCTGTCAAGAAAAAAAAAATGTAAGGGAAAACCAGAGACGTCTAGCAAATAAAAAAGGCTCAATCCAGAGGCCAGTATTTCTTCTCACATCACAAACAATGTAAATGCTGTAACCACAACTTTAACAGAGAGTTGTTTCACTGTTCTGCCACCAAAGAGAATCCAAACTGACGGCTGGGAACAAAGCTAGACACACGTCCCAACATCATTCCTACACTGGCAGTTTTCCCTAGGGGTGCTATATCTTCTGAGGCAAATTCAGAAGAATGTATTTACACGTTAAAAAATTATAATGCAAGAATCCAGTTTTCCTTCATTTCCATTCAAGTATAAGCTCCATGAAGGCAGGGATCTTTGCTTTATTCACCCAACAAGGCCTGACATGTAGTAGGTGCCCAACAAGTATTTGTTAAATTGACTTCAAGAACATTTTAACACGCAACTCACTGAGAGAGACACTGCTAGTTGCTGGGGTACAACCAAGTCCCACCCGCTGGGCTGTGGGCTCGGCGAAGCACCTCTACCTTCCGGGTCAGTCTAGGAACCAACACTCCCCCCAAAACAACAGCTGCACTCTGTTGAACAGCAAACTACAGTGATTCCTCCCCCAAGCCTGCTTTACAGTTCTCTTGCATCCTTTAGGGCAAAAATATAGTAGTAATGTACCACCACCACCCAACGGACCACCTGCCAAGCTGAGTCTCTGACATACACACACACTGGTGGGCAGATGCTAGGGAGGAAGCCCTGGACTGGAGAGTGTATCTTTCTTTGGAAGCAATTATAGCAGTGTCACCTTTTTCTCTGAAATAGTCCCCCTCTGGTATCTGAGGGTACTTCTGAAAGTTCGTGAAAAAACAGAATTAAAAGATAATGTGAATCTTTCCATGAACTTTCTGAAGTACCCTCGTATAGGCAACATTCAGTATTTTTCTAATACGACACATCTTAGAGTGACAATTTTGTATAAAAATGGACCTGCGAGTCAGATCGTGGCATTCTTTGTAGCAGTGAGGCTCACCAGACATGCTGTCTTGGCAGACGTGGAGCCAGTGACTTCCTGGGCAGTGGCCAACCTGGCTGTGGGACAACTTCGGGCTTTCAGGCGGGCTGAAGATCGCACTCCAACTGTGAGCTGGACCAGATTGAGACGGTCATTCAGAAATGCTCTCAGGAAAGAAACATGAGCGTGTCGTGAAATTTCCCAACAGAAAACCTGAAGGCAATTCCTTCCATCCCCAGGTTTTTATTATCTTCACAGACACCTGTGGCTTCGCCAGACACAGAAGCCAGCCCTGCTCTCAGGCTCTTCCCTAAACTGTAGTCCTAATTCTCCTAGTTGAAAGCAGTTAGCTTCTGTCTCACAATCTTAATATTAACAAACTGGTCCGCCTCTATTTTATCCTGAATGCAAAGGGAAGTCTTAGTAACAAGAAAAGAATTAAAGTCATAAAATATAAAATTATTTAGGAACAATTTTGGGTTTTCAGAAAAGTAGTGAAAATAGTAGAGGGTTCCCATGTACCCTTCCCCCAGCTTCTGCTGATATTAAACAACCATGGTCCATTTTTTAATACTAAGAAATACTGTTAATAAACTGCAGATTTTATTTGAATTCCACCAGTTTTTCCATGAATTCCCTTTTCTGTTCTAGAATCCAGTCCAGGATACCATATTGCACTTAGAAAGTAATATATTTTAAATCTCACCTTAAAATGTGACACAAATAAAAGTCAGTAATAAACAGAAATAATTAACATAAGTGAGTAATAAGGGTAGAAATTGTGAGTAAAAGGCTCGAAAGCTGTTGTCCCAACAGGCCCTTGAACTGGAAATCCAGAGGGGTCGGATGAAGGGCACTCTGTCGAACAGCAGATAAAAGAAATAAAAAAGGAACTGGACCAGTTTAGAAATTGTCAACAACGAAGCCTCACCCATCCCTACCGTACAGCCCATCACCCAAGATGCCTCCAAAGGCCCCGGGAGGTGGCAACTCCAAGGCTCCATGATACTGCGGCCACTGGAGAATGCATTTTGAAAATGAGAAAAAAGAAAATGCCTCCAGCTTATGGAAGGACAGCACCTGCCCAGCTACAGGCAGTACAAACAAGGTGCTCACAGGCCAGATGAAGTAGGTGCTGCTGTGGGCACACCTGGGGCTGGGCTCACATCCTCTTTGCTGAAAGAGCCCTGGTAGCAGTTACGGTCACAGTCACACAGTGGGAACTAAGCCTACAGAGGTCATAGGGCCTCTAAGAGCTGCCATGAACCTCTCTCTTGTAGGGACAAAATCCTACCACCCAGTCCTGAGCAAGTCTGTCTCCCTAAAACGCTGTCCCTTGCACAGTAGGGAACAAACATTTTGTCTTAGAAAGCCACTGACGATCCACTCCTTCCTGCTAGGAGTCCTCCGACACAGATGGCCACAGCTGCTATCCCTGAGTGCTGATGTGCCAGGCACCGTGCCAGGGTGCATGAACAGCTTCAAAAAGTGCAGCATCCTCACCTCAGATGAGGGTGGCTTGGGCAAGGAACTTGTTCAAGGTTACATAAGTGACATCTGGCTCTGAAGTCCCTGCTCCATCACTACAGTGCATCCCGGATGTGATCCCCAAAAGCTGCCTGAACCGACTGGCTTCCTGTAGAAGGGACGGAACCAGAGAACCTGTCACGGCTCTATGTTCTAAGCTGTGTGGGCCCTTTCCAGTTGCGGGTGCTTCCAAATGCTTTCGGTGGGGTGGGGCTGGGCACTTGAGAGGGGCCATGTGTTGTCCCACTGGGTTTGCAAAAGTCAGATATGACAGTGCTTCAGCTCCATCGTGGGGAAGCCAGCTCTAAGAAATGTCAAGAATCCATGACACTTTTTCTAACTCGCTGAGTTCTTGCTCTTCACTTGGGCAACGTGGACTGCTCCCACATAAACATTCTAAAAACCAAAGACTTTCTCATTCCAAGTAGAGTGTTTAAAAGCTGGGATGTCAGAAGCACAAATGTAGTTTCCCAAAAAGGGCTGGAAGAGACTGACTTCCAGCATCTAGCACCAGGAACTTCACCGACCCTCTCCCCAGCAGAAGTGGCAGAAAGTAGAGAAACAACCACTTATACACCTTTGGGAGTGGTCCTGTGGGCAGACGGCCACTGAAGAAACCTCTGCTCAAGAACGCCTACAGAAGTTCGGTACGAAAGGCCAGTCTGCGGTGTGTGGACGCCCCTCTGCAGCAGCCCCGTGGGTAGGCGCTCTTCCCAGGAGGAGCAGGACAGCGGTGCTCCTCACCCTGCCTGCTGCGAAGGCTAAGTCCTGAGTGAGGGAGGTTGAGGGGAGGGGCCTCCCTTCTTCTGGCCAAACCCTGCTTGTGGAATGGAGGCTCCACCTTGGGTGCAGCGTGCTGGGAAGACTCGGGCCCTACCACTCTTGTTCCGGCTCACGAGGCAGTGGTTCTGGGCCAGGAAAGGTGAGCAGAGGGGATCTCAGGCTGCTGCTGCCCTCATAACCCCCATCTCCCCAAGAGTGCTCAGCTCCTAGGGCAGGGGTGTCATCCAGAGGGAAGCCTCTGTGTCACTGTCCCCAGCCACAGAACCCTGGCTCAGAGGTACTGCCTTCGGGGTACCGTCCATCCCTATATAGGGATGGACGGTTCTTTAAAAGAAGAGCACATAAGAGGTTGGTCTCTCTCTGCTCCACCATTTTCTGCACTTGAGACCCCTGGGTCACTGTCACCACCACCAAGGCCTACCGTCCATCCCTATATAGGGATGGACGGTTCTTTAAAAGAAGAGCACATAAGAGGTTGGTCTCTCTCTGCTCCACCATTTTCTGCACTTGAGACCCCTGGGTCACTGTCACCACCACCAAGGCCTACCGTCCATCCCTATATAGGGATGGACGGTTCTTTAAAAGAAGAGCACATAAGAGGTTGGTCTCTCTCTGCTCCACCATTTTCTGCACTTGAGACCCCTGGGTCACTGTCACCACCACCAAGGCCTACCGTCCATCCCTATATAGGGATGGACGGTTCTTTAAAAGAAGAGCACATAAGAGGTTGGTCTCTCTCTGCTCCACCATTTTCTGCACTTGAGACCCCTGGGTCACTGTCACCACCACCAAGGCCTACCGTCCATCCCTATATAGGGATGGACGGTTCTTTAAAAGAAGAGCACATAAGAGGTTGGTCTCTCTCTGCTCCACCATTTTCTGCACTTGAGACCCCTGGGTCACTGTCACCACCACCAAGGCCTACCGTCCATCCCTATATAGGGATGGACGGTTCTTTAAAAGAAGAGCACATAAGAGGTTGGTCTCTCTCTGCTCCACCATTTTCTGCACTTGAGACCCCTGGGTCACTGTCACCACCACCAAGGCCTACCGTCCATCCCTATATAGGGATGGACGGTTCTTTAAAAGAAGAGCACATAAGAGGTTGGTCTCTCTCTGCTCCACCATTTTCTGCACTTGAGACCCCTGGGTCACTGTCACCACCACCAAGGCCTACCGTCCATCCCTATATAGGGATGGACGGTTTTAACACTGTCACAGTGGGGGGCTAAATTTTGGGGGGACGTTCAACCCAAGGCATTGATTGATTGATTATGCAAGCCAAAGAACAGAGAGGAAAAAGAATGAAGAAAAATTAAAAGAGCCTCAGAGAAATGCTGGACACCATGAAGTGCACCAACATATATGTAATGGGACTAGCAGAAAGAAAACACAAAGGAGCAGAAAATATATTTGAGTAAATAATGGCTGAAAACATCCTGCAATGGTTTGGATGTGGTTTGTCCCCAACATAAGTCATACTAAAATTTGATCCCCAATGTAGCAGTGTTGGGAGGTGGTACCTAGTGAGAGGTGTCTGGGTCATGAGTGTGGATTCCTTATGAACAGAATTAATGCCCTTCCTCGGGGGTGAGTTCTAATTCTCACTGGAATGGACTAGTTCCTGCAAGAGCAGTTGTTAAAAAGAATATGGCTTCCTTGGTTTCTCTTGTTTCCTCTCTCACCAGGAGATCTCTATGCACACACAGCTCCCATTCCATTTTCCCGGCTCCGCTTCCATTTTTCCACCCTGTAGTTGAATAGTCTGAGGCCCCTGCCAGATGTAGCTGCCCAATTCCGGATCTTCCTACCGCTAGAATCGTGAGCCAAATAAATCTCTTTTCTTTATAAATTATCCAGTCTCAGGTATTCTGTTATAGCAACATAAAATGGACTAAGACACCTCCCAATTTATTGAAAACAGCAACTTACACATCCAGGAATCTTAAAGAATTGAACTCCAAGAAGGATAAATGCAAAGAGATAAAAAAAAAAAAAAAATAGACACATCATTATAAAAATTCTGAAAGTCAAGATAAGGACAAAATCTTGAAAGCAGCAAGAGGAAAAGGACTCCTTACCAGAAAGGAACCTCAGTAAATGAACAACTGATGTTTTGGCAGAAACAATGGAGGCCACAATACAGTGAGAATATTAAAACATATTCAAGGGCCGGCCCATGGCTCACTTGGGAGAGTGTGGTGCTGATAACACCAAGGCCACAGTTTTGGATCCCTATATAGGGATGGACGGTTAGCTCACTTGGGAGAGTGTGGTGCTGACAACACCAAGTCAAGGGTTGGGATCCCCTTACTGGTCATCTTTAAAAAAAAAAAAAAAATTCAAAGTGCTCAAAGAAAACACTGTCAAATAAGGATCCCGTATCCAGCAAAGCTATCCTTCAAAGATAAAAGCACCCCCCCCACCCCCCACAAAAGACATTTCCAGATAAACAAAACCTGAGAGAATTTGTTGCCAGCAGACTCACCTTATAAGAAATACTAAAGGAAGTTCTTCAGGCTGAAAGCAAGTGACCCCAGAAAGTAATTCATATGCACACAGAGAAACCGGAGAGCACCAGTAAAGGTAATTAGGTGCTAATAAAAGATAGCTTAAATGTATATTTTTCTTTCCTCTCTTAACTGATTTTAAAAACAATTGTATACAATAATATGTATATAATATATACCGAAATGTCCTATATTTGCCAATAAAACAAAAGAGCTAGTGGAAGCTAAGCTGTATTAAGCTAAGAAAATGACTGCAGATGGTAGAGTAATAATTATAACACTATTGTTGAATCTGTAACATTAATAGATGTAATAAATATGATACCACAAAAAGTGGGTAAAAGGAAAACGGCTATATAAGAGTAACATTTCTGTATCTCATTGGAATTAAGCTAATACAAATCTGGTTGATTAAGTAAGGTATAAGTGGTAAAACAAAGCAGCCACTGGGAAAGAAGCAAAAAATATAGCAAAAAATTCATTAAATTGTTACATTAGAAACTATTCACTTACGCAAAAGAAAATATCCACTTTAATCCACTTGAACAGGGGGGCAAAAAAAGATACAAGTATAAAGAAAAATAGTGAAATGGTATCAGTAACATTAAATGTAAACAGGCTGAACAATTCCATCAAAAGTCAGAGTCTGTCAGAAAGGAATTAGAATTCACCTGCGGCCATTCCATTTGAACAAACCACGAGAGGCCAGGTGAAGGGGCACACTGGGGAAAAGCCACTTGGGGTGGCAGGTGCTCTGTCCTCCATCTCTCTCCCTAATTTCACCCCCACCACCCCACTTGGCACAAAACCTAACTAGGACCAAGCGGAGGTCACGTGCTGAGCCACCACCGTTGGATGGCAGCAACTGAGGGCCATGAACATCTGGCTCCGCAGCCAGCGATACCTCCACGAACTGAGACCAGTCCTGCAGAGGGAGACCCCCTCCCCGGGGGAGTGGCCGGGAGTCCCCAGCTCGGGGCAGTGGTTGGGAGCCCCTCTTCCTGGGGGACTGGCCGGGAGCCCCCAGCTCGGGGAAGTGGTCGGGGGCCCCTCTCCCCAGGGGATTGGTCGGGAGCCCCCAGCTCGGGGAAGTGATCGGGGGCCCCCAGCTCGGGGCAGTGGTCGGGAGCCCCCAACTCGGGGCAGTGGGCCGGGAGCCCCCAGCTCGGCGGACTGGTCGAGAGCCCCCAGCTCGGGACAGTGGGCCGGGAGCTCCCAGCTCGGCGGACTGGTCGGGAGTCCCCAGCTCGGGGCAGTGGCCGGGAGCCCTCAGCTCGGCGGACTGGCCGGGAGCCCCCAGCTCGGGGCAGTGGTCGGGAGCCCCTCTCCCCGGGGAACTGGTCGGGAGCCCTCAGCTCGGGGGACTGGTCGGGAGCCCCCAGCTCCGGGCAGTGGTCTGGGGGCTGGTCGGGAGCCCCCTTCCTCGAGATGAGGCCCAGGCGCAGGAGGCCCATCGGCCGAGGCGTCTCGTGGCCCCTGCTCGGCTCCCCAGTCAGTGGGTGGCCCGGAGCCCCCGCGCCGCCGGGCCTCGGCTGCTCACCTTCCGGCTCCTCATGAGTGTGAGCGGCGCCGCAGCCGCCACCCCCCTGCTTCGCCCCAACGGTTCTCAGCTGAGCCGCAACCCCGCGGCCCTCAGCCCGCGGCGTCTGACGTCACCAGAGGGCCGGCCAATCACAGCCCGGCGATCCCAGGCATGTGACCCAACAAACGGCTTTTTACGTAAGAGGGCGGGGCTCAGGTCCCAGGGCTGGGGCTTTGGGGCGGGATGCAGAAGCCAGAAGGCGGGCGGCGGGGCGGCCATGTTTGAGGCGGGCGCTTCCCTCGACGCGTCGGCGCCGCCATGTTTGTGAGGGGCGCCCATCCTGGCCGCGCCGGGCCACGTGTCCGTAGCGGGCGGGAAGGGACTTCTGTCCGGCATTCTTGCTCGCCCTCATTGCGCGGTGGGCTTCCCGAGTTCTCCCGGGCCGGGCGGCCAGCGGGGTCTCCACGGCCTGTCCCCGCGGAGGGGCCGGGCGCTGCCGGACGGCCCCGCTGTGTTCAGGGACGGCTCCACCCCGGCAGTGGCTCCCCGTCCACTCGACTCTCGTCGGCCTCTTCCCTCCCTCGGTGGACAAGGCACGCCGGCCCCTGCACCCGGGCTGAGTCCCCTCGGAGGGGCCACAGCCTCCGTGCGGACGGAGTCCGGGGCCTCAGCTCAGGGAGGTGCCGACGAAGCCAGAAGGCACAGTCGCCCTCCAGCATCGTCCCCACCGCGGGCCCTTCCGTGTGTGTCTTCAGGAGAGGACACCGCGCCGGGGGCGGCCGGCTCCGCAGGTGGGCAGGTGCACAGGGAGGCTGCCCCATGCTGTGCTTCGGGAACGAATGAGTGGTATTTCCTTTTTTGTTAATATATATATTATATATATATATATATTTTTTTTTTTACAGGTGAGAACATTTAAATCAGGCAGTTTTGTCAGAAGCATTAGGTTTTCCAGTTATACTATAGAGGTTGAAAAGTGAACTATGTTGTACTCCTGCTTCATGGACTGCTTGAGGGCCCCTCTGTGCATCGTTCCCTAGCAGAGGTGTGATTCATATTCCCTTCCAAAAGCGTTAATGTTCCTTGCTTTTACGGAATGACTCCCTCAAAGCCTAGACATACCGTTGATGCCTCTTTTTAGTGCATAAAAAGTGCGTGTATTTAAGGATTCTGCCAGCTCTTCAGTACTGTGCAGGCTCCTTTTTCTCTTTAGAAATGCGTCGTTAGGTAATAAGGTGGAACTGTGGAATTAGATTGCACGTGGGGTTTTGCCTCTGGCAGTGAGTGAAGACATTTGCAGTGTTAGTGCATGCACACATTTGCACACACACACACACACTCACACACTCACTCACGCTCCCCCATCCTCTTGCTTCCCGGCCCTGTGCTGCTCACCACGTAATTTCCCATGGTATACACAGAAGGGAAGAGACAGACGTGCAACTGGCAGAAAATCCATTTGAAAAGGAAACTAATGTAGTCGCTGCCAGCTGTTAAGAAAGAACCAGAGCAGTAGTAGTCGATTAAACACCTAACCCGTTTTCACTGAGATTGGTTTTATAATAAGTTTGGTTCATTCGTTTTATTTTGGAGTCCTTCAGAGCTCAGAGTTCTCATAAACTAGGGGTTGATTGCCACAGCCAGTTTTTGGCTCTATAGTTTATGGTTAGTGTCAATTGTTATAAATATTGCACTGCCTGAGTGAGCCCAACTGGGGATCCAGCCTCTGTGCCGTGCGGAGTTTAACATCCTAAAAGGACTCTTGATCTTCCTTCACAAATATGCTCTATTCCTCCCTCACTCCAGTCTATGATGTGGATGGTATTTCTAGCCACCCAGTTGCTCCAGCCTGACCTCCAGGGTCAGCCTTGGCGGTTCTCTGTCTCTCTCTCTTATTGCTCACATCCAGTCAGCCACCAGTTCTTGCTAAGGCTGGACTGCAAAGCCTCACAGCTGGTCCCAATTTCTAGCCACCCAGTTGCTCCAGCCTGACCTCCAGGGTCAGCCTTGGCGGTTCTCTGTCTGTCTCTCTTATTGCTCACATCCAGTCAGCCACCAGTTCTTGCTAAGACTGGACTGCAAAGCCTCACAGCTGGTCCCAGTTCCCCTCTGGCCTGTACTGCTCACAGCAGACAGATGGTCAAACAACAGTGATGGCCTGACCCCTCCAAAGCTTGTGGGTGCTTTCTCAGTGCTTCTAGGATCTGGATCAACAGTCTTAATATGACCTGTAAGGCCTAGCACAGTGCCTGGCACAGAGTAGGTGCTCAGTGAATGTTTGCTGAATGAATGTGTGGAAGGCCCTTTGAGCTGGCCCATTGCTGCCCCTCCCCACTCCAGACTCATCTGGACCCAGTGCCCACTCCTTTCACCTCAGCTGTCCACAGTGCTCCCCAGTCAGCCCCTGGCTTGCTGCAAAGTTCCTGGCCCACTCCCCTCTGCCTAAAAACCTTCCCTCCGCAGACCTCCTCCCACCCCATTTTGCCTGGCTAATCCATTTTTCAAACCTCAAATGAGCTTAATTTTATGTCTCTGGGGAACATCACCAGAGGCCCTCCCCTAATGAAATTGGCTAATTATAGCTTTTTCAGTATTCTGCACTTTCCCATCAGGTCATGGTGGCAGGCTGGGCTCTTCTCTCCCCTCAGTTTTGGAGCATGGCACATTCATTCATTTATTCATTCACTCATTCACTCAGCATATGTTTGCTGAGCTCCTTTGTGTGCCAGGCATTGGGATTACGGTGGCAGTGAGCTCGGGAGAGACATCTGCCTGCCTTTTTAGACCTTCAGTCCAGTGGGGAGATGGGCATTAGTGGAAATATCACATAAAAAATTGTAAACATGCAATGCAATAAAGCCCCAGGAGAGAGGCCACGTGATGTGACAGCATGTGGGCTGGGTGGTATCAGAGTTGCTCTAGGAGGTCCGCTAAGGCTCGTTGGAGGGAGTGATGAGTAGAAGGTGACCAGGGGTCCCTTCTTCCCTCCTTCACCTCCGGGACCCAAGCACCCTGCAGACCCACCAGAGGACATAGGCAGGGACTCTTGAGGAGTGGTTGATGTCCAGTGAAGCCCCAGTCTGGACAGGCTGCCCCTCCTGGGGATGGGAGGTGCTGAAGTGGGTAGAGGAGCCATTTGTGAATTCTCACTCTCTGCATCCCACCAAGCCTCTTGGATTGCAAGAGATCCTGGAGGGAACACAGGACCAAACCAAGCCTCTGCATTTCCTTCTAGGTTCCTCATGCACAGTTCATTTCCTCACTCCTGATCAGCTGTACCTCCCACCCTTCTAGGATTAGGGGCACAATGAGGGCGTCCTCATGAGGGCAGGCCTGTGATGTCTGTGCAGTCCTTGTGTGTGGCTGGTCTCCCACATGAATTGTAAGCCCCTGAAGGCAGGGACTGTGTTTTGTTCACCGACCTGGTCCCAGCGCCTAGCACCTAGCACAGTGGCCTGGACGTTCTGGTAGGTACTCAGAAATCTGTTGAGTGGTGGACAGTGGTGCTGTGCACACAAAGAGGCTGAGGATTGTGGATTCCAAGGACACTGTGTTCTTGCCATTCCACAAACCCAGTGCTTCAACACTGGTATGTACTTGCCTTTGGCAAACACTGCAGGGCTGATGAGGAAGTTGGGAATTGTCAACCAATTGGCAGTCAGTGGACTCATCAACTGAGGCCACCCTGGGACGGGGCTGTCACATTACTGCCAAGAGATGGTAACTTGTATGATGGGTTGTCTCTGACAATCCGACACTCTGACCCTTTATCTTTAAAAGAAAGATGTAATAGTTGGAGAGAGAGAGTGCATGCAAAAAAGTTCACAGCCTGCTTTCTTAACGTTCCATTTTAATTGGCCCGAATAAAAGCTTTCTGAATAGCCCACCCTCTCCTTCTGCCTGACTTTGCTGGGCAATAATAACCCTACAGTAGTATTGCCGTCTGCTGTTGAGAAATGTTTTGATGTCTCACATGAGTCAATCCCACATGAATTTGCCAAGGTCCTGCCAGGTGCGAGTGGGTTGGAATAGGACATATGGGCTCAGAGTCTCGTAAGGCACCTGAGATACTTGCAGAGCTCCTGCTGCTGGAGTCAGAAAAGGCCGAGACGTTTCAAAGAGCCACTGGCGTGGAGCAGGAAATGGTCTCTGTAGAGTTAGCTTGGTCAAGAAAAGCTTTCTGGGCTTGGTGGTGCTGGAATCAGGCTTTATGCATGCAGAGATGGCGAAGGAGGGGCAGGTGGATGGGGCTTGTGCATGGGCGCGGGTGGGTGGAAAGCCCAAGGCTGCGGCCCTCCTCCTGGAGCTCTCACTAGCAGCTAAACATTAATGGAATTTTTGTAGCCTCCTTTGTAGGCTAATCAATAGCCCATGACATTAAAATGTTTGAGGACAACAGACCATTTTCTGCTTCAGATATCCTACAACCTGCTGGGATCTGGATACCACAGTGGGTCGATTATACCTGCTCTTGTCTCAGTAAAGTTGTCATCGACGGAAGGTTATCATCTGTGGCCTGTCTCAGTGGGCTCGATCAGAGACCTGCTTGAAATGCCATCCCTAAACTCACAGTTTGTTTCTATCTCATCTTTGCCCCCTTGGCAGGAAACTCAGAGGGTTCCTTTTTCAGAGTTTCTTAATCCTGTTCACATGTGTTTTTTTTCTTTTTTTTTATTCACTTGTGTTTGAATGCTTGGCTTCTGTCTTTTATCTGCAATCAATTGTGTGTGTTCTAACAATCTAATTGTGTGGGATGGCCAGTTAGCTCAGTTGGTTAGAGTGTGGTGTTAAAACACCAAGGTCAAGGGTTTGGATCCCTATAAACAGCCAACCGCCAAAAAAAAAAATGTCTACTAAAAATCTAATTGTTCCTCTGTTTTTATTGATAGCAACTCAGAGTCATTCTGGTGAGTAGGATGTAAGCATACGCCCAGGAAAATCCTCATGTGCCTTTACATTCCGTCAACATGGGCCCTGTGTTGTTCCTCTGTTTTTATTGATAGCAACTCAGAGTCATTCTGGTGAGTAGGATGTAAGCATATGCCCAGGAAAATCCTCATGTGCCTTTACATTCCGTCAACATGGGCCCTGTGTGGGCTGAGCCCGTGGTGCACTCG